GCGCCGCCGCCGGCGGACCTCCCCTGCTTGCGCAGCCCGGGATGCCGAGAACCGCAGGATCGCAATTTCCCCGGCGGCACGGATGTCGTAAGGCGGGTGCAACCCAGCAGCGGGTTTCAGGAACAGTCAGCCAAGCAGTCGTCTGCGTGGGGAAAACACACAACTTTCATCAGTGGCGATTTCAGATTCCTGGTGATCTTCACCCAGGAGGACGGCTTCTGTTAGGATCCGGACAGACCCTTAGTTCCAAACTATTTAACAGTTTAAATCAATTAACAGATATATTTGGAAATCTATTTACTTTGTAACCTACTTGCTCTGTGATTTGCTGACACATTTTTAATAAGAATGTTATGCAATTGCTAAATAAAACTCCTTCTAGAAGTTAATCGGCCAGGATCTAGTTTCCATTAAAACCAGGCTGAAGCGTTAATTTCTGTTACCAACTTTTAGAGCTTCCTTGACTGAGCTGTGTATGAGATTATTCTTCTGTGTCCGTACATGGGATCAAAACAAAACCAGCTCATCGCTAACGACCTGGGTCATCTCTTGGTGGCTTAAACAAGGGCGGTGGCTGGTCACTGCTCACCCTGTGCCCCCTGCTCTGCCCTGGGGTCCTTCCCTGCACCCTGATGCAGACGGGGTGGGCTCTGGGCTGCTCCAGCCTCTCGCTGCCTGTGCCGGGGGACCCGAACGGCACCCAGTGCCCAGACGCGGGCTCACCAGCAGCGCAGGGCTGCTTTCGAGACACCATCACAAATATTCATTGTGCCTGACTGGATGAACAGTGGTGATGGAGGGTTTCCACCCTCGGAACAGACCAACACCGCGTGCCCCCGCTCCAGCTAACAAGAGGGTTTATTGGAGACACCGCTGCTGCAATCTTCAAATGTTCGTAATTTCTGAAAGCCATTTATTTTGAACCACCAAAGACGACAAGGTTTCCCATACAGAGTGCAGCTACGTTGAGCTCTCATCCGAAACCTTTAACCATGTTCACTGTAACTCTGGTGAAATTTTCCCTCATAATCCCTCACAGTGAAAGCAGTGAGATGTTTTCCCCTGAGCCTTGAAAACACCTGAGAGCAGACACCAGCCCCAGTGAAAACATTCAAACCTGGACACCCTGCGTGCCTACTGGGCTCTGATTAGAAGGTGTAATTGGGATTTCCAGAAGAGGTTTGGGAATATGAACAGTGTAGCTTTATCTCTTCAAAGATAAGGGCACGGGTCCCACTCAGCTCTCAAGTGGAACGCCTTTGGTGTGATGACTGACGGGGACAGCCCGGGGAGCGGAGGCTTCTCGCAGCCACCGCCGGGTGCACAGAAGAAGGAGGAGCAGGTTGCTGGATCGGGGAGCTGCCGGTTGAGCGGCCAAGCTGCTTCCTCATCAAACACAGCGACACTGACGAAGGGGGGGAGCAGATTTAACAGTGAGGGCACTGATTCTCTCTCCCCCCAGCTCCAGGCCAGGCCCCTTCCCTCACCTCTCGCTGCTCTGTGAGACAGCTCAACTCACCAAACCAGTGGAAAGTGACCCGGAGAGAAGAGCCCGCTGTTTTCTGCCTGGTTAGTGAGCAAAACCTGCTGGGAGGAAAGGCAGTGAGATCCCCTCCGCTTGGCAGCATCGAGCCACCAGATCAGCTCCACCGGGTCATGCAGCCACCCCCTGATGCTGCTGTCTTGCTGCTCCTTCGGCAGCTTCCGAGGAAGCTGGAAGCAGCCTGATCTCTCTCCTCCAAGAGCTTCTAAAGGACAGCTTACATACTCCTGTAGCAGCAGAAGCTGACGTGCTCTTGCCAAGGGCTGGCAAGCAGAGCCGTGCTGAACACAGGATCCCCAGGGAGCGCTTGCGTTGGGGAAGCTGCTACAGCACAGCAGCAGGACAGAGACCTTCCAGGGGTAGTCTTGCTGTACGTGGAGGTGGTGAATAATTAGCACTTTAGATGGATCTGCTTGGTGTGAAGGCAGTCAGCGAGGCATCCCTCAGCCGAGGTCACGGCAGGGCAGTGGGCTCCTGCTGCGATGGGCCCAGCACCTTCTCAGTACAGCCCCTGTGACAATGACGTCCCCGAGGAGCTGCTGAGGCTGAGGGCAAAGCCAGGCCAACGCTCTGCCAGGCAGCCGCACTGGGAGCTCTCTTGCACCCCAGAGCCCCCCTGAGACCATCACCTTTACCGCTGCCCTCCCATACGCGAGCTCCTACCTGACTCCTGGGCACCCAGGGACGTGCCCCCGAAGGTCCTTGCCCCCGCTTGCTCCGTGGCAGACCCGTTTCAGCCCTTGCCTCAGTGACTTCTGGAAAGCACCAGTCACCTCCTTGTCACCGCTCTGGCCTGACCTGCTGCCTCCTGCCCGCACTGCTCCAGGCGGATGGTACATGGCGCCAGGGAGGAGGAGCCGACGCACACGCTGCTCCAGCACCGACACACCAGTGAGGCTGCGACATCCCCCAGCCCGGGCGGGAACGTTGGCTCTGGAGCTCTGACGGCATCCCGCACCACGGGCTGAGCCCTGGCTCCCCCTCCTCCTCCCCCAGCCCTGACCCCAGCCTCCCACGAGGTTTGCGGATTTAGGTAGGGCAATCTCCAGGCACCACAACCCCACGCAGACGCCCCCCCCGCAGCAGCCTCCTCTGAGGGTCCCACAGGTAACGGTCACAGCAGGACTGCACGCAGAGATCTCCAACAGCCCCCCGGATGGACTGTGCTGGTTCAGTTTGCAACATCCCCATCGAAGTAAGAGGGGACGAGTTCAGGCAGAACCCCGTGAAGGAGGGGAAGCTGCTGGGAAGCCTGGCAGGAAGGACCCTTCCACAGAGAGAGGGAAAAGCCATCTGACCCGGCTGCTGTCAGAAGCACTCCTACTGAAAGCTGACCCAGAGTTTAAAAGCTTTCTGATCAGTGGTCACTAACAAAAGACCCATGCAATTCTGGGTCCTATTTTCACTCTACAGGACTGACAAGAGATTGGCTTTATCAGTCATGTTCCCAAGCTTGCCACACAGCGAGCACTCCTCCCAAATCCTACCAAATTCCCCCCAGATGCAAGGGGACATCCCTGCCAAAGGTAGAAAGCAGCATGAACCAAAAGCTCTCACACAAACACTACTAAATTTTTGCAAGCTTGATACATATTAATACAGAAGTCACCATGATGCAGCGTCTTCTGCAAGCTATGGGCACCAAATCGCTCTTGCGGCCCTTCCCAGCGTTACCTCAACAGGCAATGCTGCCAGAGCCAGCCCTGGCTTAAGGTGACGCTGCCAGCAGAACTGCACGCGTTTGAAACACTGCACTTTGATTTTTCTACCTCTGGTTCTCATCACACACCCCTCCTGTCATCCATACTGCGTCATGCCATCGCTCCCTCCTGGCTTTTCCCCCCAAACACGGGATCAGTTTCCTACAGAAGGGCTTACTCAGTTCCCAGAATAACATTTCCTATGACTGTTGGAATCACAAGCAACCATCACCTCTAAATATATCTGCAGGAAAAGCAGTTTCTTTGGCATCAGTTCCCATTCCCTTCAGCTTCTGATGCACCACAGCCTTGTAAAAATGTGCTTGGACACCTTTGTGTGTGACAACACCACATGGCATCTTTCTCTTTAAATACACATTTAAGCTTTCTGAGATATGATCTTTAAAGTCACAACTGCCTTTGTTATCACTAAGAGGCTTTACGTTCTAAACCAAATTATTACGTCATCTTCCATCTGTTACTGTCTGCAGCTACACTGGGAAGGGGTGAAATGGCACACCAGAAATCAGCACTGAACTGGAAAGCCACAAGAACTCTGCAGAAAGTAGCTAAAAGCAGCCAGAGCATGTCCCCTTTGGCTTTTTTACTGTGCCTGTTTTCCCACACATTAAAAATCGCAGCCTTGGTCAGCCTGTCATGGAATACAGAGCCCGGGAGAAGAGAGACGCAAAGGCAGCTTTCCTTGGGACAGGGTGTGTGGGACCTGGCTATATCGCATCTCAGCCCGAGCCAGGCTCGCTCACAGCACCCCTCAGACCGTGTGTCAGCTCCACAGAAAACCACCAAGGTCCCTATTTATCAACAAAGGCACGACACACCCCCCTTTGTCCCTCATCCAAACTCTCATCATTTCTGAACAGAAAACCTAGAATATCTGAACTAATACCCGCATAATACTCTCGCATTTTCCTCAAGAGCTGCACTCATTTCGCCCATTTCCATAGTCCCATGAGTTCACACATGCTGTTGCATCTCCACGCTATTTATTTCAGATTACACACACAGGGCACGTTTTTACAAAAGCTTTATTTGTCCTGCATATCTGTCACATGCCATTTTTAAAACTTCTGGAACTGCTTCTTGGTACCAGCAGCCTTTGTGACTTTGAGGACATTGAACCGGACAGTCTTGCTGAGGGGACGACACTCTCCCACGGTGACAATATCCCCAATCTGGACATCCCTGCAAAGACATTGCTGGTATTTCAGTGGTTCTGAATTTCCTGCATTTGCAGTGGGTTTGCCCTGTAGCACAGACATTTGCATTACATGATGCTACCAAGTAGCACAGCACTGAAAGTGACCTTGGATATCTGAAGCTGTAAAGCAAGAAAGTCTTATTTTGAAGATGAGTGCGCAGAAAAAGCAGCAGTCGCCCCCCGCAGCTGCCACAAGGCCCTGCAGTCTGTCACTCCGTACTAAGCTCAAACTCGTGACAAGGCTAAACGCAAGCTTTTCAAGAGCAGGATGAGTGCCGAGCACAGAAGGGAAACCCTTCGGAGATGGGGAGTTTCCCTTCCAGTCACATACAGGCTCAAAGCACTTCTTAAGCCAAATCAGCCGGTCTGGAACACTAGTCCACGTTTTCCTGCAAACCTACACTCCAAAGACTGGCTTAGGAAACATGCAGTAGACTAAAAACCCCACCAGCCTCTGAACCTGCCCCCTCTGGCCTCAGCGTTTACTTCAGAAAGATCAAAGTTTGTTATCCTTTCTCAAGGACCATAATGCTCTAACAGTGCATAGTTTCAGAACGCGACAAGCAGACTGACCAGAACCT